ACTCTCGGATTCTCGCGTCTCGGAATCACCTGTGGACTCTTCTGTTCCGCGGCAATTACGCGCGCGACAGCCGGTGCCGAGAGACGGCTTCGAATTTAGTAAAAAGCGCGGAGGAAAGACGGAGGAAGCGGGGCGGTGGTGTCGGCAGGTGTTCCACGAGAGAGGACAGATCGTTCTACGAGGGCACACGGACGGCGCGTTTGCTTTTTTCGCGTGCACACGATCGTGTGTCCGGCTTGGCCGCGTTTAATACCTTATTCCGCGGCGAGCGGAAAGGAATAGCCGGAGCTGCGCGGGCGCGACAGAAACGCGCGCAGAGTGTAACGTTACAGACGGCCGTGCAGTGTTACATGGCCCGCGCGAGCTGCAGAACCTACGGGAGATCGCGGCCGCGCGGGTTCCCCGTGTAACACGAAACTGCGAGCGAGCGAGCGAGCGAGCGAGAGAGAGTTTCTCCTCGCGAAAGAGGACCGCGCTCTGCCCCGCGCCCCGATTAATCGGCCGCGGCGTCGCCACCCACCACACCCATCGATGATTAACGAGAGGCTGCCAATTAGTTGATCATCGGCCCTGTGCGTTTATGGACCGTTGCAGAGAATTAGCGTCCGGGACGCGCGCGCGTCTTATCGTCGCGCGCGCTTCGCCCTCGCGATTCGGCAATTACGCGCGCGGAGGCCCCATGGAATATCCCACGCCGCCTCCCGCGCGCCGCCGCCGCCTCCTCCTCCTCCTTCTCCTCTTCCTCCTTCGCCTCCTCCCGTTGCAGTCCTCTCTCGAAACGAAGAATCGATCCGGCGTGTTCGCGTCTCTCGGTTCGCTCCCCCTGAAAAAAGGAGAGGCAGAAGAATCGAAGAAAAAAAAAAGAAAAACGGAAGAGAAAGAGAGGAGTAGGCGGCGGAGGAGTAGGAGGAAGAGCCGCCGGCTGGCTGGCCCGGGTGGGAGCAGAAGCGGAGACAGAGACCGAGAGAAGCCGAGGGAGAGAGAAAGAACGATCGAAAGAGAGCGAGAAAGAGAGAGGGTGCGCACGAGGGAGCGGGAGAAAGTATAGAGAACGAGGAAGCGAGAAGGTGCTCCTTCTCGAGGCAGCGCAAGATGGATTTCCGCGAAGTTCGAGCGGGCCTTAACTCGCGAAAAATGTCAAAGCGAGTAGAAGAATAGCTTGGCCGGCCGAGGCGGGCCGGAGAGGCGAATAACTGAAAAGGGGTGGCCAGAGAGGCGGGTGCTTCGAAGGCGAAGCATCATCGTGCTCGTCGGCTGGTCGTCATCGTCGTGTCGTAGAGATACGTGTGCCGGTAGTGTCCGTCCGCGTCGCGTCGCCTCGCGTCGCGTCGCGTGTATACGTGTATCCGCGTACTTAAGATCCAAAAGCGCGGCGCGGTGCAGGGGAGCGAGGGGGTTCGGGCCGGCGCGGCGCGGCGCGGCGCGGCGAGGGAGCTAGACTCCGCGGGGAAGAAAACGAAGCAGCGGGGGCGAAGACGCGGGAGAACGGGCGGCTGATTGTATGACGGAGGGGTATCGCGGCTGGAGGGGATGATTGTCAAAACAGGGCTGCAAGACGCTACGAAAAATGTTCGTATTTATGGCACTATTTCCGCTGCTCTTCGAGCCGCCACCCCTCCACCTTCTCCGCTCTCTCGCTCACCCCTCCTTGTCTCTCGCCTCGCGAACACCCACCACCGGCCCGCGCGCCGTTTCTTTTTTACTTCCTCCCTTCTGCCATCGTTTTCCAGAGTGCGCGCGGTCGTTCTTACTTTTCTTGCCTTTTCTCTTCTCTTCTCTTCTCTTCTCTTCTCCGCTCCTCTCCTCTCCTCGTCGCGCCGCTCCTCTCCTCTCTCTCTCTCTCTCTCCTCGCGCCGGAACACCCCCACCATCCTGTCTTCCCGCGCCTCGCTTCTCCCACCGCCCCCCCCCTATTATATCGTGTATTTTACCCTTTCTTCGGCCGCGGTCCCCACCACGGACCGATCCCCCCACCGAAGCGGCCTCTCGTCGGCGGGAGTTCTGTTCTGCTTTGCCCCCTTTCCTCCACCGCCGCCTCCGCCGCTGCCTCTTCCTCCTCCTGTTGCGGCCCCTTCTATCTCCGCGGCGCCACTTTAATGTTACATTAATAAAAAGCAACAATCAATATCTTCCCCGTAAAAAATTTTAATCTATAACAGAGAGAATTCCGCGGCCCCTCCCGCCACTCCTACCACCCCGGTCTCTCCCGCGTTCTTCCTCGATCCTCTCTTCCTCTATCCCTCTATCCTGGCCGCTCCGTTCTCTTTTTCTCTCTCTCTCTCTCTTTCTCTCTGTCCCGCGAGCTCTCTGCCACCTCGCTCGCTCTCGCTCTCTCTCTCTCTCCGGTCTGCCTCCCGCCCTCTTGAGGAAAGCGCCGCTACGAATCGTGGCGAGCCCTCAGTATCGTATCTAGGCTCTACGAGCACCCCGTACACGCCGCGTAGAGCCAGCGACGCGCGAACCGCTCTCTCTCTGCGTGTTGTCATTTCACTTTTCACGCCGGGCCGCGGGTTACGCAGCCACGCGAGAACCAACCTCACCCGCCGGGCCGCCCTTCGCGCCCTGTCGCTGCACGTGCCCTTTTCTCGCGCCCTTTCGAGCGCGCCTCTCCCTTCGCACCGCCGCACCGCACCGCCCGACTCGCCCACCGGCCTCTCTGCTGTGAGTTTCTTTCTCCGCTTCCAGCGACTTCGACTCCTCTGTCTTTCTTTCTATCTCTATTGTACTCTTTCTCTTCCGCTCTTTGCTCTCTCTCTCTCTCTCTCTTTCTCTCTCTTTCTCTGAAACAACAAGCGTGACGCTGGGTGCCGTATAGCGACAAATCCGGCCGATCAACGCGGCCAAAAAACAACCAAGGATAATCTATGGTCGCACGCGTCGTCGATTCGCTACCATAAGACGATGCGTTTTGTTTGCTCCTCGTCGCGCTGGTCGTCAACGATTCCGCCGTTGCGGACGTCGTCTGCCAGGACACGGCGCGACGCGGACAAACAAATGTTGCATCGCGTGGTCCTCCAATCGCGTTCAACCAGCGACCATTGTCCTATGCTACTCTCATCTCGGATTCCCATAAACCGGCTGCGACGCGGCGTTCCACGACCGACGATTGTGCCTCGACGGCACACGGAAGTGCCGAAAACTGTGATCCGTTCGTGTTTTCGGGGAAGCGAGCCTATCTCTCTCTCGCTCTCTCTCTCTCTTCGGATCGGTCACGCGCCACCGACCGATCGACCGATGAATAGCGTGCATTGTTCCGATCGTTTCGCGTGCATCCGCGCTCGCGACGGCGCTCGCGAACGGTAACGGAACAGAAAATTTACTACGATCTCCGTGGACCGTGAAACTTCTCCGGATGGCACGAGAAGAAGCAGGGGGTGCGGAGAGGGCGCACAGCGAGGTGAAACGACGAAAGTTGCGTCAAAATCGAAGACAAGATCAAGAAGAACTTCCCGGCAGAAGTTCGACGAAGCGATGACAGTTTCTTGCGGAGAGAACATTTTTCAATACCGAGAATTTATGTTAACTTTTTGAAGCGCGTTGCAAGAAAATTGTGACTTCACAATTCGTTCCAATGCACAGTGTGTGTGTGCGCGCGCGACACACGTTGTACATTATTAGATTTTGACGCGCCGATTTCGAATCCATTCGGTGGAGAATTAATTTCTTTAACGTTCGTGGATTATGGAAGGAAAATCGATTCGAGTGAAACGAAATCGCGAGAGCTTTTTGAGTCGGTTCGACGACTTTCCGACTACTTCGCGAGCATCGCGACGACATTGGCGACTTCGTAGATCAATTTCGCGACCGTTCTTCTCCGCGAAACGGTCGCGCTATCGGAGTGTTCCGAGTTCTAGAGAATTTGTTCGAGCCTCCGTCCGATTTCTACGAAGCGTTCTCTGATTTTGCCCCCGGGACCCGATCGTTCGGCTCCGCCGCGGGGCGTGTCGGGGCATCGTCGTTGCAGCGAGAAGCAGATCGGTGTTGCGGGTTCGCCGCAGCGGCGAAACGATCGCTGACCCCTGGTTATCGTGTTCGTCGAATTGTTTTTCCGCGAACGCGTCTCCCGCGGCAATGTTAATCTGAGGGGGTGTGACGGGCCGCGGACGATCCGCGAGGCGAGCGCGAGAAGAAGATCGGGCAACGTCTGAAATACCACGATCGCTAGACCGATTCCACGGTCGGTGTATACGTAGCCTCGGAGGCCACGAGCTCCTCGACCTGCGTGTTTCTTCCCGGACAAAAGGGTACGAGTGTAGAGCGAGAGAAGACGCGGCGAGCGAAAAAGACGCGATCCGCGGGGCTTGCGGGGAGAGACGCGGTAGAGTGGCATAGAGAGAGAAACGGAGAGAATCGGAGAGAGCGAGAGAGCGAGAAAGAGAGAGCAAGGAGGGACAGCGCGGGAGGAGAAGGAGGGGAGAAAGACGGAAATCGTGAAAGAGCGAGAACGGAAAAGGGAAGGGGGAAACAGCGGTCTCGCGCATCTCTGCGCGCGACGAAGGCAGCCAGCCGAGCTTCTTCGGACCTGAAAGAGACTATAGTCGACTATTCGAACTTGTACACTATGTTTTATAGCGCATCTCGCCGTTGACTCCGGGACAGGCCGCACAGTGTCGTTCTCCGTCTCGGTTTTCCACGCGCTTTCTCGCGCCGCGATAGATTACACCGTGAGAGAATCTGCTCCCGATATTCTGTCTTTTCGACACGCGCGTGAATCCGAGAGAGAAAGAGACCCGGTGACGGACGCACGCACGGAGAAAGAGAGAGCGAGAGAGAGAGAGCGCGCGAAAGAGAAAGGGAGACAGAGGAGAGGCATCATCGGAGACGCGACAGTTCGAACGCGAGCGCGATCGAGACCAGTCGAATGTCTCCGTTCGATCCGCGTGGCGGACTCGCGAGCTACGTCGCAACGAGCATCGGCTTTTTTACGCGCGTGCTTTCGTAGAAAGTTCTTCGGGAGGTTGTGCCAAGTGTGTCGAAACACCCGACTGTTTCCTTTGTAGTGCGGATCACGCTTGTGCCGAGCACCACGCTGCCGCTGTCGCAGCCGCAGCCGCAACCGCAACCAACGCCGACAACGCCAACGCCGACGCCGCAGTCGCCGCCGCAGCCGCAGCCGCGTGACTAAAAAGTGATTCACGTCCGGGGACCTGGGAGGTCGCGTTGATTCATCGTCTTCGCGGGAAGAGCGAGAGGCGGGGAGAGAGAGAGAGAGAGAGAGACAGAGAGAGAAAGAGAGAGCACACAGGTCGTCGCAAACAACACGTACGTAATCATCGCATTCCCGTATTCTCGATTAAAAAAACTCCTAGCCGGGCTAAAGGAACACAGGGCCGGCACCAGGACACCGATGCGTCGGCCTGGCCCGTTCAACGAACCGTTTACCCGATCCTCCGACGCGACGACCCAGATCCATGGATCGCGCGAGGCGACGCGACGCGACGCGACGCTACGCGAACGTGAAACTCTCTCGCGTCCCGTCGACCGGATGACATTGCATCGCCGGATCCCATCGCCCCTGGCCGTGCCACGCGTAGGTCAGGTTGGAAACCTGTGCGAACGTTTCCGCGACGCATGTTCGTTCCTCTTTCGCCGGCGATGATGTTGGTGTCCCTCGTGTGCGCGACGAGGACCCCGGCACGGTCTAGACCGGGACGAACTTCGTGAATAACACTTTGTCGGTGTGCACGGTGCGACGGAGATAGACGCGTAGATTGATAGAGAGGGAGAGCGAGAGAGAGAGGCGCTCGGACGGATGTAAACGCGAGCCGGTCAGAGAAGGAAAGGGAAACGCGGCTGCCTCGCCGAGGAAAAAGAGCGAGCGAGAAAGGGAGTAAAAGAGTAAGGGCGAGGGAGCGAGAGAGTGAGAGAGAGAGAGTGAGAAGGAGAGAGGAAAGGAGAGCACGCGGCATGGTCGTAGCGTGGCTGGCAGCGTCGGAGTTCGTACGGGTGACTGAATGGAATGAGTAGTCCGTGTGAGACGCGGGAGGGATGCGGCTTCGACCAATCGAATCCGGAGTTTTGTCAGGGGCGCGAACGGAGGGGGCCAAGCCGAACGTGGAAGGGAGCCGAGCTGACAGACCTACACACGTGCGTTCTGCAACCTACGCTACGCGTACGCTGGTTGCGTTCACGCAGCAACTCGCAGCACGCTCGGTGTGCCACTCGGTGCGTCCCGTCGCGGCGATGCCTCGGGATCGATCGTATCGCTCGCCGATACTCGATCAATGGAGCTCTCCCGGCTCGATCCGGCTCGATTATCTTTCCAGGGATCTTCGAATCGACGGCTCGATTCGTCGTCGCGCGCCTCGCTTTAGCGAGCGCCGACTCGACTCGGCCGTTCCGGTTCCGCGCGTCCGCCGCTCTGTCGAAAGGAGAGGACCGGCCGAGGGATTGGCTCGTTGGCTCGAGAGTTCGTCGATCCCATCGCTGGCACCGCGTGGTGCGTGGCGTGGCGTGGCGTGGCGTGGCGTGGCATGGCTCATGCACGCACACACGCGGCACCCTTGTTTATTCTGTCGGCTCGCGCGTACGTGCCGCTCGTGGAAAACCAGCTGTGCGAATCGATCGGACGAAGATTCGATTTTTCGCCACCGCTTCGCGATCCTACGCGCTGATAACCGTACACACGTGACCTGCCAGCTACCGGGCTCTGTTTGCCAGCTCGCGCGCCTCGCCTCGCCTCGCCTCGTCTCGCCTCGTCGTCGCGACGCGGGGACATTTTCTGCTCCCAGCTTAAATGCCAGCCCCTTCCGTGCCCCCCGTCCTTGCCCGGTCAACCAGCCGATGCTTTCTCTCTTTCTCCATTCCTGAAACATCGTTTCGACCGTGCCGCGTGCACGGTTCGATACCGAGTAAAAAAGTAAGTCGAAAACGAGGAGCAACGTTTTCTCGTTCGAGGCTCCGTTTTCGAGGAAACCGTGCCGGAGGATGCGCGCCGGGCTCGCTCGGCTCGCATTTGCTACCGCGCGAAGTAGAATTAATAGTGGTATATGTATGTCATGACCAGACGCGCCACTTTGCTTCCTCTATTCGGTAGCATTATTTTTTCGACCTAGTTCGTCGCGAAAACGGAGCCTCCGATGAAAAGAGAATTCATTCTACATTTTCTACTTATCTTTCGACGCGGAATCGGCGCCCATCCGGTTGTACAACCAGTTACACGACACCCTGTATAACGTTGCAATTATTTCTCGTTCTCGAGACGCGGGAACGTTCGACCTAGATCACCGCTTCGAATCAGGATACTACTCTTTTCTACTTCCTCTTTTCTTCTCTTTTCTTTTCTTTCTTCAACACGTTGCGCAAACTGCCGCGGAGCGATTCTACGCGCAGGATTTCGTAAGGGAAAACGAATCGCAGTCTGTTTTTTAGGTTGCCGCGCGCGCGCTCCGTTTTCGACGAAACTCGAGAGTACCGAAGACGGCCCCGCGTTGTTCTCGTCCGTGTTCTAAGAGCGAGAGAAGTAGATCCGGTAGCCTATGATCAGACGCGCCAAGCCGATCCACGGTTCTACCAGCGACAAATAGCGCGCTCGGTAATCTTTGAACTCGATTATCTCGAAAACGAAGCGCGTCCGACGAGGCAGTGTTTTTTCCTGTTTACCTCCCGAGATCGTCTCGGACTTGAAATCGATGCGAAACGAACGATGGGTTAAAAAGTGCGAGATTCTATACCCGGATGATCCAGAGAGGAATTTAGAGGTTCGGAATTTAAAGGCTCGGAATTTATTTACGCGAACGGGTTCTCAACGGGTTCTTTAGCGTAACAAAAATATAGAAGGAAATTCTCAATAATCGACGCTGAAATTCTCCACGAAAATGGACAATTTTTGGAAGAGAAAATCTAAGCGCAAATTAGAGAAAAATTACCGTGTTCACTGTACACGGTTTTCTGCGAACACTCCTCGACTTATTTACCGTATCGCCGAAAATTCTACCGAAACGGCTGAATCGGCTATAGTTGCTTCCACGAAACCTTTCATATCTTGGCAAAGAACGACGTCTTATGGCAATCCAGGAACTATTCCGAGCCGAAACGCGACGAACGAGATAGGAGATTCGCGTTTCGTCGCTGCGGAATCGGCCCAACGATGCATATCGATACACTCGATCCTAATCACGTGCGGTGGTAATGGTTCATGAATACTAATTGCCCGGATTGCGCACTTTTCGTCTTTTTTGCGAGCAGGTTTTATAGATCCGCGAATGGGACACGAGGCAGCGACTGCTGCTGCTGCTGCTGCTGGAAAAAAAGAAACTCGTGTCGAAACAAACGCGAATAGAGGAGCACCGGTAAGCGAGCTTATTATCCGGACGGTAATATTGTACAAGTTTTGAGGCGACGGAAACCTACTCATCCACTTTTTTCGCTGTTCCGCGAGTTGTTGGATTAACTAGATCGCGTGATTCTCGCAACAAAGTTCCACGGGTATAGACACAGTTTGTGTAACTAACTTCCAGAAGAAGAAGAAGAAGAGGCGGAGGAAGGTTCGGCGAGCTATTATTGGGTCGCTGGGAAAGAAGTATCGGTTTTTCGGTGAACTGCCGAGACAACTTATCGTTCCTCCAGACTACGAGGCCATTCTTCTTCGTTACCATTCTGCTCCCGTTCGCAATTCGATTCGTTAAACATCGTACCGTTTGGTCCGACCGGGACGGTTGCGTTCAACGGCACGACCGGACGAGCTTCGAAACGGCTCGCGCACCAACTTTCGCGGATAGTTGTTCCGGCGTTGATATATTGGCTCGGCCCCACGAGTTCCTCGGCTTTCAATTTCGATTGAAATTTTCCCGCGCAACGCGCGATCGCGTCGACGATCCCGTCGTCTCGCTCGTCGCTTGTTCGATTAAAGCGACTAATTTTTTTGAAAACCACGCAGCGACAACGAGCGCGATCGAATTCGTAACAAAGCGAAATTCGTCTTTCACGGTGTACGATAATAATTTATCGACGGGAGGAAACCCTTTGTTTCTCGCGCAGCGTACAAAAGTACGACGAACAAGATAGAAAAGAAAAACGAACAAACGAGGAAATAATAAAGGAACGAAGAAGCGCGGAATTCGCGACAGATCGATCAGCTTTGGCGAGCGGCGCGGGCGAGAATAAGCGATCGCGGGGGACAGGAAAAAGTCAAAGGTACCGAATGAAATTTAAATCGAAATTAAGATCGCACGAGCTGCCGGCCCGACCTATTAATTATCCGTCGACGGGACACCGCGGTTTTATTTGGAAGGTCCCGAAGCGGAAGACGTGAATGGGGAAAACTGGAGCGCAAAGACGCGCGCGCGTCGGTCCGCGCGAATTTTTAGACCGACTGGAAAGGTCGTGGAACTGAACTGGAGCGGTTCTATTCTGGGCGGCGTTTGACGGCGATCGTTGTTATCCTCGTTAAGCACGGGCAGCCCGGTGGCCGCGGGTAAAAGTGTAAAAGCCACGGGTCATCCGGGCGAGGCAGAGAGCCAGCCGCCGCCGGGACAGAAGAGGGCGAGGCTCTGGATATCTCCGGAGGAATGCTCCGGCGGATCGTAGAACCCGAACCCGAACCCATCCCGCTGGCATCCCCGTGGTGCCCGAAAACCTGTTGCATTTTAAACGGCGCGTGCAGCAGCCGAGGCTGCCGATTCTTTGGAAATCCGGCGTCGACGAGAGAGAGAGAGAGAGAGCTGGCGCTGGTCTCTCCCCGCGTTGCCTCGCGCCGCGTCGCCTCGCGTCGCCTCGCCCCGAGAAAATCTGTTTTGCCGTGTTGACGTCACGCGTCGCTCCGCCGTCCGACGTTTTTATCGGCTACAATGATTAACTTACCAACGATGAATATGCAAACGAGTCGCGTATGCAACGAACGCATGCACCGCTCCTAACGAGGTGTAATCCCGCGTAATCCAGCAGACGAAACGAGCGCCTCCCATAATCGAAACCCTCGAGCGGTGTCATAATTCTTCCGGCGGCCGTCCGGCTTCTTTTTTCCGCCGAGAGTTCTTGCCGTGGCCCCGGTTTTTCCCCGCGCGCGCGAAAAAAATCTCTTAACTAGGCTCTTCTCGCAACCGTCGGCGAGAAGAAGGTTCCACGAAGACAGAAACCTGGTTATAGAAGCGCTCCTCGCTGCTGCCGCTGCTGCTGCTCTCTCTCCGGCTGCGGTCTATAACCTAACGGGTTATAGTCGCCGGCCTGCGACTCGGCCGGGGCTGCATTTCAATGATTTTTAACGTTTCGTCTCGGCGCCCCGAGATTCGCAGAGTCGTTTATTTGGCGAACGACGCTCGCTC